TTTTCGTTACCACTAATGCCAACATGGGATGGTACCCATATCAGAGTGATAGTTATATTTTGTTTTATAAGAAGCTGATATATGTCATGAATATCTTGGACGATAGGATGTTTGGTGGATATAGCATTAATGGAGTGTATAGATGAAAGCGAATCGGAGCATATGGCTATGTGTGTATTTGTATATCGTTGGGCATATTTAAAAGCTTGTAAGATAGCTAGTAGTTCACCAGTGTGGATACTACACCAAGGAGAGATTTTAGAGAGTTCGATAGGCTGTTGTACAGTGGTTACAGAATATCCAACCCCACCTTCAGTCTTCGACGCGTCAGTGTAAAGAACCATGTTATATTTATTTTTGTTTATAAGTTCTAGGAAGAGAATTCTTAATGTACTAATACTGGTATCTTCCTTGTTAAACTTGGTGAGTGAGATATCATGATATGGGAGTATGTTGGTCCAATAGGGATTATTGGAGAATGGTAGAGTTCTGGTTTCACACAAATTTATATCTTTTAGTAACGGTTGTAGAAGACTAGGAATAGGATGTATAATTAAGTTACATGGAGGGCTGTTTTGGGTATGATGTGATGATGTAAATAGATGATATACGGGATTGGACGGATTGGAAGAAATTGCAGCAGCATAGGAGAGAAGAAGGTTTTCTCGTCTAAGCCATAGAGGAGGTTCATTAGCTTCACAGTACAGACTTTCTGCCGGACTAGAACGGAATGCTCCAAGACATAAACGAATAGCTGTATTGTGAACTGTGTTCAGTGAATTTAATATTGATTTAGTACCAGACATATAGACGAAACATCCATAGTCTAGCTTAGAGCGGATAAGTGATCTGTAGACTTTCAGTAAAGTAGTTTCTTCCGCGCCCCAATGATAATGTGAGAGTGTTTTGAGTATATTTAACCTTTTTAGGCAAACTCCTTTAAGTTCCTGTATGTGTTGTTTCCAGGTTAATCTTGAATCAAATATCAGCCCTAATATTTTGCAATTATCAACAACCGGTAACTTGAAGTTGTTGATAGTGATTTCCGGATCAAAAGAACTCATTCTTCTGCTAAATTTAATAACTTTGGATTTAGAGTGGGAGAGGGTAAGTCCTAGAGAAGCTACTTTGTTTTGTAGGTCATTTACTCCTACTTGTAGAATTTTACTAGTAGTTGCGTTGGATTTACCATGACAGTACATTATTAGGTCATCGGCATATAATACGCATTTGATTGGTGGAGCTATATTTTCACTTAACTTGCTAATCGAAAGAATGAATAAGGATGTGCTTAAAACTGAACCTTGCGGAACTCCATCATATTGGATGTGTGGAGAAGAAAGGGAGTTATTGACAGAAACCCTGAACGATCTAGATGTTAGGAAGTTTTTGATAAATGCGTATATGTTGCCAGTAAGGTTACATTCAAAAAGTTTGTCAAGGATTGCATTTCTAGAGATGGTGTCAAATGCGCCTTCTATATCAAAGATAGTTGCTATCAAATCTTGCTTGCAATTTATTGCGTTGGAGATGTGGGTTTGGAGTATTACTAGATTATCTCTTGTGGAGCGCTGTCTTTGGTAGCCAGATTGTTCCTTTGGAATAATCTTATGTTTTTCAAAATACCACAAAAGACGTTTGTTAATCATTTTTTCCATTAGCTTACACATAGTGCATGTGAGAGAGATGGGCCTGTAAGATTGTGGAAACATAGTTGGCTGGTTTGGCTTGAGTATTGGTATAACTATAGATTTGCTCCATTGAGATGGAAATTTATGGGAACTCCAGATTATATTGTATAAATTAAGGAGTTTTTTAAGACTATAATTAGACAAGTGCTTTAGGAATGCATAAGGAATATCATCGGGTCCAGCTGCAGTGTTTCTACTATTAGCTAAGGCAGATATTAGCTCATGCATAGTGAAAGGAGAATTAAGGGATCTACTATGTTCAGATGATATCAGATGATTTCTGTGTGAATATAAGTCATGATGAGACAAAGCAATATTATTGGTTTTATTTCTGAACTTGTCTTCGAAATGTTTGGCAAAGGCGTTAGGAATAAGTTCGTATAAAGCGATCTCTGTACCATTTGTAATTAAACGAGTAATTTTATTATTAGTTTTGTGACCTTGAATTTGTCGTATTTTTTTCCAAATTTGGCTAGGATTGGAGTTTTCGTTGATAGATGATACGTAATCTTGCCAGGATGATTTTTTACTTTTTTTGACTACGTGTTTGGCCTTGGCTTTGAATTTTTTGTAATTTATTAGATTTTCAAGGCTTCTGTTTTTTTGGTACTTATTTAAAGCTTTTTTGGATAGACGAATCGCCTCTTCACAAGAAGAGTTCCACCAAGGAACTACTTTATGATTTGGAGAGAATGATGTTTTGCCAATATGAGTCTTAGCAGCTGAAAGAATAGTGTCTGTTATTGACGTTAACAAATAGTCTACATCGTTTATTATTAGATGATCATGCGCGAGCAAGAGAGTGTCAACGGCTTTTGAATACTCTGGCCAGTTAGCTTTTTTTAGGCGCCAATAGCTTTTGGCAGAGGCAGTCCCATTAGAATTGTTGGAAATTATTATAGGATAATGATTGCTATCAAAGAGATCGTCAGCTGTTTGCCAGGTTAAAAAAGGTGCAGATTTAGGGTCACTAATACTAAGATCTATAGCAGAGAAAGATCCAGATGAAATATTAAAATGAGTGTTAGATCCTGTGTTAAGAAGACATGAGTTTGTGCAGTTAATAATATTTTCAACTACTTTTCCCCGTCCAAATGTGGATTGAGAACCCCACATAACGTTATGTGCATTGAAGTCTCCTGTGAGAATAAACGGCTGTGGAAGTTGGAATATAAGGTCTAGGAGCTCTTCTTCTTTTAGAGAATGGTTTGGGGGAATATATATGGAGCAGATGGTTAGTTTATTAGGGCAATATGTAGTTATGGCAATTGCCTCAAGATTCGTTATTAATGGTAGCATTGTTGAGAAGATTTCGCTGGACGCAAATATAGATGCACCTCCACTGGCTCTTAAGCAGTTCGTTCTAATGAAGTGGTATCCTTCAAAGGATTTAAGATGAGGAATATTCGTTGTATTAAAATTAGTCTCTTGGAGACAAAGAAAATCTGGATGGTAAATTGATATAAGATATTGAATGTGTTCAAGGCGCGGATAGTATCCGTCGCAGTTCCATTGTAAAATAGTGAATTTGAAAAATTTATTTGGTTAGTAGAAGAATTAACCTTGTACTAATTAAGTAATTTTAGAAAGGATCGATATCATTGCAGTTAGAGTCACATGAATTATTGGACGTAAGGCTGGTAAGTTCGTCAGCGTCTATAGAATTTAATGTGCGTTTTAGCTTTTTCGTTATTCTTGTAATGCGATTTTTAAGTGATCTATCGGATACAGTTTGGTATATTTGAGTAAGATCTTCGAGGAGAGAATGAATGTTCGTGGTGAAATTATGAGCTTCTTTGAGGGGATCACTACTTCCAAAGGAATTTTCTAGGAAGGCAATTATTTGTAATGCTGATAACGAAAATTTTTCTGGATTCGCACAAATTAATTTTTCAATACTTGAATGGGCACATAGACTAATTTTACAAATTTCTTTGTCATCAGTTTTTGTTTTCTTTTTAGGAGCTGATTTAGGAGTTGCGAAGGTTGTTGTGTTTGGTGTGTTATTAGAGTTTAAGTTTAGGTGGCTAGCGGTAACCAGTAGAGAAGGTGATTCAAGACTTGTGTCAGTGGAATGAGTTCTTTTTATGCCAGAGTTAGAAGGGACAGATAATGGTGTTATAGACTGTTCATTTGGGGTTGTTATGTCAGTAGGTGGGTTATTTGAATAGATTTCTTTTTTTGTGGAGGGTGAAAGAGGAGATATACTAGAATGAGGATCGACTGGATTTTGGCTAGAAGTTGTATTTGGAGAGGGATTGCTAGATATTTCTTGAGGGTTAGGGCAGGAGTCTGCAGTGTGTCCAGATTGCTTACATAAAAAGCATTCAAGTTTGTCCGAAGTAATAAAGATCCTATAATTTGTATTTTCATATGAGATTACAATTGAAGTATTTAACTCAAAGTATTCTTTATTTGGTATCACAAAGACTGAGCGTCGAAAACTGAAGATGTGAGCATATTCGTCTTCCGGAGAACTACAACGGATATGCGAGATAGGGGAAGCAAGTTGTAATCCAAGTTCATTTTTAAGTGCTTGCTCTATGAGTGCATTCGGAATCGAAGGACACACGTTAGAAAGTAGTAGCCTCTTTGCAGGAGTGATAAGTCTACGAATAGATATTGTTTGATTTCTAATAGAAATAGTAGGATTATTTTTTAGAAGATTATCTACTACGGTTACGGAAGAAAGATAGATGCATATACGTTGATTAGAAATACGTGAAGCAAAGGTTATTTCTTTAGGGGTAACAATTTCGCCGATTGCCTTTATGTAATCAAATAGTACTACGTCTGGGATAGCGTTCATAACAATGGCTTGAGTTCTACTAGGACATGATGTTGCTGTTGTAGATTTTTTCTGTGTTATTTTGGTTACTGCAGCGAAGCTAGGTTGAGCTGTTTGTGAAGATGATGCCATATTTGATTTTAATATTTTGGATGCCAAAATATTAAGTATGGCCAAAAATGACTGGCCTAATTTTATTTGTCGAAAGTAGTAATTTAACTGATATCGACTTACCAATATTTGCTTGATAAACAATCACATTAAACTAAACAAGTTTTTATTCAAAATACTATTAGTAGGAAGCCCGATGTTTACTCGTTGGCTTCTGAAATAGGAATGCGGAAAATATTTAAAATGTATAGGATTATATTATAAAATTTAAACTATTAGAATTGTACACCTACACTGTATTCCCGCTAATCACCTTATGGTCTATGCGGTAAACTTTTCAATAATAAAAAAAATATTAAGGTATGTGCAAAAAAGTATTTCATTATGTTTACAAAAAATTTACTACAAATAGGTACCCATAACATTTATTCGTAAATCATACAAAGACTTATTTCAAACGTTCTTCTGATTTTTAATGTATAAATCATAAACTAAGCGACTCATTGCGCAATCTTCGATGGCCATACCTAAAACACCCATCTTTTGTATTATAAATATCTTTATAAAACAAAATAATTATAATTCACAAATAAAAGTTTACCTAAGCTTTGAAACACTGTTATGCGATTTATATCTTCAGTGGTTATTTGATTCATAATAACTTTTCCAACTTCGCCTTTAAATTCAATCAGTTTAGCCAATCCAGATAGTTCACTATTTACACCCTCCCAGTGGTCAATGTAGACGTCAGCATGATAATATAATTTCTCCTCTAACTCACTGTGATGTGTTCTTCCTAGGCCAACAGCTAAAACAAAATTGATGATTTCGTTAATATTGTGACTCCTTTGTATAAATTACTAAGATTACGATAAGTTAGATTTTTTCCTTTATTTACATATGAGTGATAAGTGTAATAAAAAATAAAAATTAAGAAGAAAAATTCCGATTGAGAAGGAGAGGGGGAGACAAAGTGAATATTTTTAAAAATAATAATAACATTTTAGTGCAAAATATTCATAACAGCAGCAGAAAGGACGAACGCCAGTCTGTTCAGATGGCGACAGTTATTCCAAAAAAACTTAAAACATGTAATATCGATAAGTCATTTTTGTGTTCTGATAATATTTGTGTATTTATTGAAAAACTAAACGACGAAATATAGGCCGTTTATATCCCATGGCAGCGGGACATATTTTACAGTGTAAATGGCTGTGGTGACTTATAGTCTTGTGGGGGACTTTTTAGAGGCTCTCCCCAGGTATATAACTCCTAATATATAAAAGATTAATACAATATATATATATATATATATATATATATATATATATATATATATTGTATATATATATATATATATATATATATATATATATATATACAATACAATATATATTATATATATATATATATATATATATATATATATATATATATATACAGTGTAGGAAAAATTTTATGGTCGGTATGGACCTTACGTGAGATGGAGTGAGAAACAGCTGTTTAAAAAGAGAGAGGTATATTAGGTACGCCCTTTATATCGCCGAATGGAAATATTAAAAAAGGGGAAATTCAACGTTGCCAAACTTATTGGTTTTATTTGACCTGTTGTCTTTTATTGCACTTGAACAATGTTCTATCAAGAAGATAAAATGCTCAAGATAATCAAATTTGGGCGAAATTGATTTAAATGGCAGGTTACTGTTTTTTTTTATTGGGAACATGCCACAAGTTTTCTTTACAATAATTGTAATATAACATTTTGATTTCCATTTCGGAAATCGTTTTATATAAATAAAATTTATTAATGTTTCGTATTTTAAGTACGATTTCCGAACTAAAAATCTAAACATCAAAATAATTTCCCAATATGAAATAATAAACAATTAAACATGCATACAATAACGCCAAATTAAAAAATATTCATACACTAATTTATTTGGCAACGTCTAGTCTAGATAGTCGTCTGGTCAAAAGATCGAGTAGGTAACGAGAAGTAGAGGTGGGTCGTGCTAATTTATCGTTAAGAACGTAGGAGCAAAATTTCGGGCCAATGTTTTTTAAATGCATTCATTTTTTTCGAATCCTGAGAAAACTAATAAATATTTTTGAAAAAATTAAACGCAGAATGAAACAATACATTATTACCGAGAGCTGAAAGTACCTGAAAACTTCTATAATGTTTATTTTAATAAGTTATAGGGATGAAAAAAAAAAACAAAATTTAGTGTGATTTTTAATTTCAAATATCTCATTAAAAAAACTTTTTGTTTATTCTAAGGGACCTTCGGCCCTCGGTAATAATGTAATCTTTCATTCTGCATTTAAATTTTTCAAAAATATTTGTTAGTTTTCTCAGGATTCCAAAAAAATTTAAATTTTTTTGAATGCTAAAAAGCATTTAAAAATTTTAATTTTCATAAACAAGTAACTATGATTGTTTAAAAGTAGTTTCAAGTAAGATAGTACCTACATAAACAAACATAACGGCTATTATCGTTTATGTGTATATCTTTTGAAGTGAAAGAAACTACCTAATGATATATTTATTATAACTTGAAAAATAAACTAAACAATCATCATCATCATATAACGGGGGCCCTACGGCGATTGCCGCTTCCCGCATTTCAGCCTCCATCTTTTCCTATCTCCCCAATCTCCCTCTTCTAAGCCTCTAGATTGCATTGTTTTTGTAATTTCTCTTCTCCAGGAATTTGGTGGTCTTCCCCTTTTCCTTCTTTCTGGCGGAACATACATTAAGGCTTTCTTTGGCCACCGCTCCTCCTCCATTCTCATCACGTGACCATACCATTGTAATTGCCTTCCTTGTATTCTATCTGAAAGAGTATCTCTAATTCCTGTACGGTTTCGTATTTCCTCATTCCTGATTCTTTCCATTCTCGATACTCGACATGACCTTCTAAGATAATCCATTTCCACAACGTCTACTTTATCTCGTTCATTCTTTGTCATCGTCCAACATTCGGCACCATATGTGGTAATTGGTTCTACAATTGCTCTGTATACGCGAAGTTTGGTATGCATCTTTATTTTATTAGACCACAGTAATGAATTCAGTATTCGGATGCATTTTTTCCCTTGGGTTATTCGGTTTTGTACATCTATCTTAACTCTGCCATCTGCTGATATGATGCTTCCTAGATATTTATACTGGTTGCAGCCTTTTATGACTGCGTTTTCAAGCCTCAGATCTGTGGTATTTCCTCCAATTTTTAAATATTCTGTTTTAAATATTCTGTTCTAAACTAAACAATACAAATAGTAAATCGGACTTACATTTACATTACACGTTATTATTAAATCGCGAATAGTCTAAATTGACATAAAAACATAAGTTTTTCTACTTTACTTCTTGTTAACCGTATTCTTTTTTATTTAAAATTAAACCAGATTTTGAACATGTGTTCACATTTACAATACTTTATGAATATAGTGGTTAAGTTAGGATATACATGGCGATGGTTTTTCCACCGTTGTAATGGACTCTCGATGCAGGTGTACGTGTAGATGAGTCATCTCCAATTAATTGATCAAAAATACTCCATGGACTTAAGTCATATTTATTGGTTTCTTTTTCTTGTACTGGTTGATTTTCAATAGTACAATCTTCTTGTTCGTTAATTATAGAAGTAACCAGCTTCTTAACTTTTTGTTTTGTTCTGCACTTTAAATCGTGAATCCATAAATGTACATAATGACAATGTGCCACTCTCTTCTATCCCTCTAAATCTTTTTGCTAAACCCGATATTAGTAATTGTACTATGTCATATACTATGGATGTAAGTATGCCGTTTGCTAAAATTTTATTGCAAGATTCTTGCAGGCAGCGTACCATAACAATCACTGAACTAGCATTCAAGTATTTTTGGTCACTCATTGTACTTGTTATTTCTTTAAACGGCCGTAAAATTTGGGAAAGTTGAGAACAAATAATCCAGTGTTCTTTATTTAGATTAGGTTTAAGTCTGAGTCTGTATTATTTAATACCAATGTGGAACGGGTTGCCTCTTCTAACTCGGTCATTCTTTTTAACATGTAATAGGTGAAGTTCTACCTAGTTTCCACGTCTTGGATTGGCCGTTTGGGAACTGTGTTCTGTTGTAATTAATACTTTAAAAGCCTTTCTGAAGATAAGGTACTTTTTTGAAATGTGTTTTTTTGCAGAATTGTCGAAAAAAGGACTTTTTATTTTATCTATTTGTACACGACAGCATTTAAGTGCGTCCCCCACCAATAAATTTAATCATCATCATAAATCACAATCATCATAAAACAAAACATATTTAATAGCTTTGACCATATTTTAGGAATTATCAGTTACTGCAAAATTTACTTTTCGTTTTAGACCCGACTGATTAATAATTTCAGTAATCGCTGTTTTCTGGATTATGGTTTCCAGAAAAATGGCAGCAGCCTAATAAAAAAGTTTTGAATACTAAATTTTCGGTTAAATATTGTCCTGTTAATGCGAAGTAACTCTCAGTTACTCCAGATGTCCAGAGGTCAGTAGTAATACAGATATTTTCTACTTCTTTAACAACTTGCGATCTAATAATTTGCTCACTTTTGACATAACATTCCTGAAGTAATGAACCTGACAAAGTTTTTCTTGTTGGCGGTTTATATCCAGGAATCCACCCTGCAAACTTTTTAAAAGCTGGTTCTTTAACTATGGAAAACGGATGAAACGAAAAGTTTAGTAAATCTTGAAAATCAATCAGTCCAAGAAAAAGAAACTGATAAAGATGACTTAAGTCCATGGTGTATTTTTGATGAATTAATTGGACATGACTCATCTAAACATACACCTGTATCGAGAGGTATAAAAGAAGTCGACATGTAATTGTCTGATGATATATTACCCACAAACAATTTCGAACGGAGATTGGAACTGTCCATAACCGTGGTGAAAAAACCATTGCCATGTATATCGTAACTTAACCACTATATTCATAAAATGTTGTAGTATTGTAACAAAATCTTTTCCTTGTGAACACATGTTTAACATATGGTATAATTTTAAATAAAAGAAGAACGCGATTAACAAGAAAAGTGGAAAAACTTATGTTTTTAAATGTCAATTTAGACGATTCGCGATTTAATAATGTGTAATGTAAATGTAACTATTTAAGTACCATTTGTATTATTTAATTTATTTTTCAAGTTACAATAAATATATCCTTCGTTAGGTTCTTTTATTTCAATACTTATACACATAAACGATAATAGCTAATATGTTTGTGTACTCGCTAATTTGAATACTGGTAAACAATCAACTAGTTACAGTTTACGAAAAACGGTTCCGATAAAAATTAAAAAAACGAGAAGACCCACCTCTAGTTTTTTAGGTATATTAGGATCGGAACCAGAGAATATCTGATCGGAACTAATCGTCTCACTAATGGGCAATGGCCAATGAGTGTTAAAAGGATGTTAGGAGGGGAGACGAAGGGGAAATATGATTGTTATCTTTGTCTAATTCGTTGAAAATATGATTTTATATCTGCGTTAGATATCCTGTTAAATTTTACCATACCGAGCTTAAAATTTTACCTACACTGTATATATATATATATATATATATATATATATATATATATATACCTAAATAAAATCATATAAAAGTTAAAATTAGAGATTAAACCAATGACGTATAATATATAGATCCGGTGAACGCTTTAAAAAGTGTCCACAACATGAATACCTTTTGTTATTGTTTATTGTTTTGATACGAAGATGCACGAAGTTCATGATTTCTTACGATGCATCACGAAGTTGATCTTGTG